CAGAAAATGGATTATCAATATTTCTATCAGAATCCAAAATGAAATTGTTTTGGAAACAACAGCCCTTTTTGATACTGGAGCAGACCTTAATTGTATAAAAGAAGGTCTTATTCCAACCAAATATTTTGAGAAAACTTCCCAATCTCTCAAATCAGCATCCGGGGATAGACTAATGATTAATTACAAAATTCCTGAAGCCAAGATTGTGAAAGACCAAATTTCTTTCAAAACTCCCTTTCTACTTGTTAAAAATATCAAACAAAATGTTATTTTGGGGTCACCTTTTATCAATTTACTTCAGCCTTTTAAAGTTTCTGAAAAAGGAATTGAAACTGAAACCTTGGGCAAGAGAATTTGCTTTGATTTCATTTCAAAACCCCAAACCAGAAATTTGAATACTCTTCAAGAACATTCCATTTCTGACATAAATTGCATAATTCAAGATAAAGAAACTCATCTTCAGTTTCTTAAAGAAGACCTTGAATACAAGAGGATTGACAAAAATCTCTCTGAAGCAAACCTTCAGAAAAAGATTTCCAATCTTGATAATCAAATAAAAAATTCCATATGTTATAATATTCCCAATGCTTTCTGGTCTCGTAAATGTCACATAGTTGATTTACCTTATGAACCAGGATTTTCAGAAAAGGATATTCCTACTAAAGTTAGACCTTCTCAAATGAATCACGAAGTTCTAAATTTCTGCCAAAAAGAAATACAGGAACTTCTTGAGAAGAAGCTTATTAGGAAAAGCCAGTCTCCTTGGAGTTGCTCTGCTTTTTATGTCAACAAAAATGCTGAACTAGAAAGAGGAGTTCCAAGATTGGTAATAAATTATAAACCCTTGAATACAGCTTTAAAATGGATAAGATATCCAATTCCTAATAAAAAAAGATTTGTTGAATAGGCTTTGTAATGCAAAGATCTTTTCTAAATTTGATATGAAATCAGGCTTCTAGCAAATTCAAATTAGTGAAAAGGACAGATATAAGACAGCCTTTACTGTTCCTTTTGGCCAATATGAATGGAATGTCATGCCTTTTGGATTGAAAAATGCTCCTTCTGAATTTCAAAGAATAATGAATGATATTTTCAATCATTTTTCTGACTATATTATTGTTTATATTGATGATGTTTTAATATTTTCTGCATCCATAGAAAAACACTTTAAACACGTCAATCATTTTATCAATATTGTAAAGAAAAATGGTTTAGTAGTTTCACCTACTAAAATATCTCTTTTCAAAACAAAGATTCGTTTTCTAGGACATTACATCCATCAAGGAACCATCATTCCCATTGAAAGATCAATAATATTTTCTGAAAAATTTCCTGATGAAATCAGAGACAAAAATCAATTGCAAAGATTTCTAGGAAGTTTGAATTACATTATTGAATTCTTTCCCCGCATCAATATAATTTGCAAACCACTCCATCAGAGGCTCAAAAAAGATCCTCCACCATGGACTCAAGTCCATACTGATATTGTAAAACAGATCAAGCGGACTGTCAAGGAAATTCCTTGTTTACATCTTGCCGATCCTTTTGCTTTTAAAATTGTTGAAACTGATGCTTCTGATATTGGATATGGAGGAATCCTTAAGCAATCCAAAGACAACAAAGAACAAATTGTTCAGTTTGTCTCCAAACACTGGAATGATTGCCAAAAGAATTACTCTACCATTAAGAAAGAAATTCTTGCTATTGTACTTTCTATTTCTAAATTTCAAGGAGATCTTTTAAATAAAAAATTCCTTTTACGCATTGATTGCAAATCTGCAAAAGATGTTTTGCAAAAGGATGTTCAAAATATTGCTTCCAAACAGATTTTTGCCAGGTGGCAAGCCATTTTATCTGTTTTTGATTTTGATATAGAATTCATAAACGATTCTTCAAATTCTCTCCCAGACTTTCTCACAAGAGAATTTTTACAGGGAAAATGCCTCCCAAACCACCAAACAAACCCACAAGGAGAGACAAAGGAAAACAAGTTGCAGAACCGTCTTCCGAAAAGAAAACCCCAGGGATGACTAATCTCAAAACCTGGCTCCAGGCTGCTCAGCAACCATTGAATATTACTACCATTTCTAGCCAGGTCAAAAAAGAGCCTGTTCCTCTTACGGGAAATCCTTCTGATAAGCTCTCCCAATTTGATATAACATAGTTATCCCAGGAAGAAGCATTACAGCTTCTCCAACAAGCCTTCAATAGCCAGCCACAACCATCCATGGCGATGGTAAGTCCTGATCCTTCTCCCATAGCCACTCAAAAGGCAAAGGGAAAAACAATTTCTAGTGAGGTGGTCATTCAGTCTACTCAGACAGCCCCTTCAAAATCAAAATTTTTCCATAAAACAATATTTCAAAATATTTGCAATGTTGAAAATGGTTTTTATAATGCGGATCCATATGTATTTGCTAGAAACATGTTTTCTGAAAAATTCTTATATACTCCTCATGATATTTACAAAACAAATGAGTTTTATGAGAAAATTCTGGAAGAAACAAAATCTGTTACTTTCAAACACTTTTCGCAGGGAGGTCATGTGAACTACTCCATGGCCAGGATTCATAGGGTCATTCACCCTTCCCAGTGGAAACCTGATCCACTAGCCTTGCAAAAACTCACCACCAAAACAAATGAAGCCCTTCCATACAGGACATCCTTTTCATATTTTGACTATCAACAAGCTTGGTGGAACACTTTCTGGAGAAAGAATGCCAATAATTCCCATACTTGGCTATTTTTTTTTTTGAAGACTTTGATATCAAAACCATTCCTTATTGGTTTATTCGCTGGTGGGAATATTTGGGACCTACTGACGAATTGATCCACCCAAAAATCCATCCCAGTTATGAGCTTTTTCTAGAAAAATTCACCCCACTTCCATTTGAGAAAAATTTCCCCAAATTGATGCTCTTTTTCTATTATTTCGGAGTATCATGGGTCCTTGGATGGTATTTTGATTATAGAAAAGCCCCTGAAACTGGCATCCCCATTCTCATAAGACGATTCAAAGTCAAATGGTGGGATGGTTTCAAGTTTTTTGATAGAGTCTCCAAGCAAGCCGTCTCAGAATGGCTGTTTCTAAGGAGCAATGCTCCAAACACTTCTGAAGATATCACCCCCTTTCTACATGACAAAGGGTTTGTACTTTCTAAATTAGCATCTGCTAAGTCCCATCAGCAGCTAGCCGGGATACTAAAACAAGCCTTTTCCGAAATTGAAGAAACCAGTTCTTCTCATTCCCATCATAGTGGCAATTCAAATGAAGATGACTGCTATGGGATCCCAGGATTTACTCCCATTCCTCACAACTGGGCAAGTGTGAAGGACAAAGAAGAAGAAGAAGAGCCTGAACCAGTGGAAGATCTCTCCAGATTCTCCTAAAGACAAGGCGCCGAAAGACTCTTGGCTGTTTTCATAATTTCTGAGCCGAAAGAAGTCTGTCAACTTTTTCTTTTCTCAAAACTTTTATAATTATGTTCGGCCACTATTCACTGTAACACTGTGCACTTAATACTATTTGCTACAGTACTACTCGTGAACTATTTCTACAGGAACCCAGTTTGCTTATATAAACAGACCTCACTCACTTGAAGAGGCAGAACTTCTTCAGACCCTTTCTCTCTGAGTTCAAAATTTCTCCAACTTCCCCAGATCTCTCCAAGCCTCCTTCGAGAGAATAAGAGATCTCATATCTCAAACCTTTCTATTTCATATCCAGTAAGTTTCTGATCCCTGTTTTCATATTATCCTCTAGATCTTAGTTTCCTTTCGAGAAATATAGTCTGCAGACATCTGCTAGAACTATTCTAAGGAAACACGAAGTTTCATTCGAAACTCCATAAGATCCATCACTTTCTACCAAATACAACTGCACTTGTACTTCAATATCTACATTCTGTAACCTTTCTATACTGTTATTGTAATCCTTCAATATTGTTTATATACCAGTCATTTCTCTAATTCCTTCTTGCATTTACATACTACATACCCCACAAACGGCAGGTCGAACCGCCTGTGGAAGGTCTATACTTTAGATTAAAGCAATTCTCTGCAATTGTTATATATTCTTACTTCTTCTTACCGTTTTACCATTTTCCTCCTTGCTTAGCAATACCACCTACATGGTTAGTCTAGAATTTCTAGCAATTCTTCTAATAGTTTTATATATTGATTACGGACTCTTCATTATTTATAATGCTCGCGCTTTTATTTAATTTTATTTATTTAATAGTTTTCTGTGTAGAAATCTGCACTTTTATACTAGGATATATTTTCAACGTTGCTAGAACCACGAGCATATCTCACATCCATTATTATATATATATCACTACAAAAAAATTAGGTTTTAGCGACGAATTTTGCCACAAAAAATTTGACAAAATTCGTCACTAAACGAATTTGCGACGGAAAAAAATGCGTCGCTAGTACGCCGTCGCAAAATTTTCCGACGAAAAATTTCAATTTTTGTCGCTAATTTGTGACAAAAAAAATTCATCGCTAATTATTCGTGGCAAAATTCGTCGCTAATTTGCCACGAACTTTATTCGTCACAAAATTCATAGCTAATTTGCCACGAATTTTATTTGTCGCAAAATTCATCGCTAATTATTCGTGGCAAAATTTGTTGCTAATTTGCCACGAATTATATTCGTCGCTAATTATTCGTGGCAAAATTCGTCGCTAATTTGCCACGAAATTTTTTTTTGGTCAGTAATTTATGACTAACTTATTCGTGGCAAAATTCATTGCTAATTTGCCACCGAAAATTTTTACTTTTGCCATTAACATTATTCATGAACGAATTTAGCGACAATTTTTTTATTAATTCTTTAGCGACGAACTCTACGATGAATATCGTTTAGAGACGAAATTTTATTTTTGCAACGAACTTTTGTAATTTGTGATCGTACGATAAAATCATTTATTTTATTTTTCGATTTTAAACCTAATTAAAAGAAAAATTAATTTTTGAAATTTATATTTAACATTGATTAAGCACTTAATAACATCAAAATATTATAATAATATGAAAATGAAATACAGTCATCTACATTTTCCACAAGAATGACATAAATAAAGAACCAAACTGAAAGGTGCATTCTTCCTATTCAAGACAGACCTTCTCAATTGAGGAATTATCCAACCAAAAGGTGTTCTCAGCCTTGTTATCAGAAAAAAGTTCACAGAATATGTTCTTGGATCCACCAAGTCTAGCAGCCAAACCTTCTAACCTTCTCCATGTCAACTTAAGTAGCTTCATGTCAATGGTTGCAGGTGAAATCCCCAGATTTGACATACCAAGACAGTTCCTCTCGTCCAAATCATACACTGGTCTGCTGCTTCTAGTAACCTCTTGAAGCAAGTGATCGCCATTAATCTCCACAGAGGGAGTATTTGTTAAACGAACTTGTCCTGATATATGATTACCGTGGGGCACCTGGATTCGTGCTAACAAAAGTTTACTGCTCAGAAATAGATATAGTCAACCAAAATGATAATAACAAGTTGTCACTAATAACACTAAAAAACAAAGGCCACTGAAAACTTGAATCTTTCTTCTGAACAATGGCAACATATTACATAAGGCAAGTAAAAAAGGGAGTCTCAGACAAACCTTCCCCCAATAACCCAAGGAAAAAGCAAAATATGTATAGTTGCTTGAAATAAGTTGCCCTTACCAGTAAAATGAGCATATCTCCTTCTGAAGAAAGAGGAGCTTGATCTCAACCAATAATCTTCTGTTATTCCCCTGAGATTCTCGAAAATTTGTCTCCCATGACAAGTCGCAACACTCTTTGAGTGAAACTGAAAATCAGAAAGGTCAGTGGTGTGATAAAAAAGACGTAGTACATTTGTAACTTGTACAAGAGAGAACCTAAAGCACCTGCACACCATAATGAGGCCAAGTAGAATGCATAATGGCCATAAGGACCTTTTTGCTTCGTACACAATAATTGCGGTGGATGCGTTGTAATTTATCTGTCACACCTGTCCAGAGTACGCACCAAGAATCATGTAAAGCTTTGACTTTAGATTGTCACCTATAAATTTTTGTCCTGTCGCTATTCATTGAATAGGTCTTTGCCAATCCTTTTAAAAAAGGATCTTTGCAGTGCACTTTCATGAATAGTTTTTGGAAGAGAATATACCAAAGAATGAACAACACTACACCTAAAGCATAAAGCACATGTCCTTAGCTTTTGGATGATAAAACCTAAATTTTTCTCCTCCGAGCCTTGGACACTCAAAATAAAAATCCAACTAAAACAAGGATCTGAATTTGAAAACAATCATTCGTTTTGCAAGAAACGACAGCTTCTCAACATCCAGTTCAATGAAAGTCTATATGCATCGCAAGCTAATTGATCTTAATTAATTAGGAAAACATGGACACTAGATGAAACTATGCTTGAGCAGAGGGCCTTGTCTTGCATTGTCCAGAATCCACCTCTAAGTGACTGGTGCAACCAATTCTCTAATCTAGATGCGACAGATTAAGACCTTGACTTACCTGAACAGTTTGTTCATTGGTTTTAGAATGTGTGTCAAAACGGCGAAGCGTCAAGCCATCTGTCCATTTCTTCTTGTGAAGATTAAGTAGCATTTTTTCCTCCAGTTCATTCTTTCTGTAATTGATGGCAATTGAGTAATAGTGTCTGTTCAGCCCATGGATCAATGCCTAAAAATATGAAGTCAACCCCATGAGATAAGATCAAAACTCAATATTCAAAGAGAGCATTATCTGGTCAGCACTCACTTGGATGGACGGTTTGTTGAGATGTCCATGGTTGGAGGTTGTCTACCTGGGTTCTTGGCCAAGCATCATGGTTTGTGGGTTGATCAAACGGAAGGCATCAATCACCACCTTCCCTTTGACACTCTAAATGGGATCTACAACTACTGCAATCGCACGCCGATTTAAAGCCTCAAAACTCTGATTTTATAAGAACACATCACAAGTATAAAGCAGCCTTGTTAACAATTGGATCCAACTGGAAACCTATAACCAATTATAGTCTAGCAAAAAAAAGACATAAGAAACCAATCATACACGAATGCAATAGGCTATGGTCATCAACCAATGGTGAAAATATCTAAAATATCTTGAGTTACAACTCCGATTGAATCCCCAAAGCCACAACCTTCAACCAAAACCATCCACACACCACTCCCAATAGAGAAGCTCTTGAGATAATTTAGAGAATAATGTCAGGTATCTAAAGACTAGTAGTCCACTAAATTGGTTCATTGACTGATGCAGCAGAGTTCTACTTAATGTTGAATATGGCCTCCTTGTTCGCAAGCTCAGCTACAGTCTATAACATAACTTAGTAAATCAATTTAGTAGATCATCTTTACAAATTTAATGTTACTCTAATTTGAATAACCTCTCGGCTTTACAGCTCGCCTCCAAAAGAGTAGTTTGATATTCTCAATCCATCCAAACCCAAGTCGAGAGAAAACTTGTAACAATTAAGATGGCTAAGTCACCGTCCGTAGTAACCATCAAACTAAGGGACATATTGTCACCACTGGACATAATTCACACACCCAAAGGAAGTGACTGGCGTTGCTGAGCAAAAATAAGTCTGCTAGTATCCCAGATTGCAAAAGACAGACAGACAGACACACACACACAGACAAGAGCAGTGCCGGTGCCACCTAAATGAGCGCATAACAGCAGAACAAATCCGAACCAGAACCCAGAATAGCACAAACACGAACTATCCTACAACTACGTTTTTCGCAACAAAGTCAGCAACTACTCAACTAAAAAAAACCCCCCAAAACCACCAGCCGCCTCAACGATTACGCCCCAATTACCCTAAGACGTCACGACCGAAAACCCACCCAGAAAACATCGAGCGAATTCAGACCACCACAAACCCAACAGCACACGAGCGAGAAAACGAATAACATTGAATAGCAATTCCATGAAACAAGCATCACAAGCCCTCGCGACATAAAAGCTACGATTTTTCCTCACAAAAAATTCAAGCAAACTACAGACCTCAAGAGAGAGAGAGAGAGGGAGAGCCCCGGCCTACCTGATCCTTGCTAATCTCGCTCGACCAAAATCGAAACCACGGCTCGATTTCCTCCACCTCTAATTTCTCGGGGAGCTCCTCCTTGCCCTCGACGGGGGGAGGAGCCGCCGCCCCTTCGGGCTCCGCGGCCTCTAAGGCTCCGAAGGCCATGGGCGAGGAGGAGTCGCGGGAGGAAGCGCGGGGGGAAGGGGGTACCGAAAACCCTAGCGAGCGCGAGAGGTTTGGGGGTGTGGGGGAGAGGGAAGAAGGAGAAGGAGAAGGAGAAGGAGAAGGAGAAGCGGAAGCAAATCTGATCGAGAGAAACGAACGAGGGAGAGGCAGGGAGAACAGCGAGCGCGGGGGAGATCTGAGGAATCAGCAGAGAGAGAGAGAGAGAGAGAGAGAGAGAGAATGGGCGGGTGAGGGCGGGCAAATTGGGAGTGAGGGCGGGGAACGCGAAATTAGCGACGAATAATTTTTCTATATTTATCGCCACATTTTTTTACTATATTTATTTTCGTGGCTAAATCCGTAACTAATTTAGCCACGAAAATAAAAAATAGTCGGAAAAGTAAAGTGAGAATATATTTTCGTGGCTAAATCCGTGGCTACATTAGCCACGAATCTTTTTTCGTTGCAAATTCTGTCGCAAAAATTAGCGACAAATTTTTCGTCGCTAATTCCATTGCAAATTAGCCATGAAAAATTTTTCGTCGCAAATTAGCGATGAATAATTTTTCGTCGCTAATTTTCCGTGCTAAATCCTTATTTTTTTTTGTAGTGTATGGTATTTACACACACATATATATACACACACTAGGTTGAATTGCAGAATGGGGTGAGCTCACAAGAGAGTTATCAGATATGACGATCCAATTTATTTTAATATATATACTAAGTTTACTGAAGAATTTTGTTCACATGAGTGTCAACATTAATGGTCACGTGACTCGCGAAATGGATTGAAATTGAGGCAATTCTAGTAATATTTCCGTGGAAAAAAGTGTTAGAAAAGTCCTAAATCTAATGCATTGGTGTCAATTTAGTTTTAAACTTTTTGACCTAGAGTTAATTCAGTCCTTTCGGCTAATTTTTGCTAGATATTGATGATGTAGATGCCGGTCGGCCTACGCTATCTAGTGCCGACATAGACACCTTTTAATAATATTTTAATAACTTTTTACAATTTTATTTATTTATTTATTCTTTTCTTTTTCCTTTTTTTCCTTCCCTTCATTCTTCTTCCAGCGGGTTACCGGACCTTGGTAACTAGCCAGAGGCGATGGCTGACGATGACCGGCGAGGTTGACCTTGCTAGGCTTCGCCTCTGGCCGGTCACTTAGGCGAGGCTAGCCCTCTCTGGCATGTCTATGATGGCCACCGGAGGAAGAGGAGGAAAAAAAAGAGAGAAAAAATAAAAAAAATATCCAAAAATTATTAAAATATTATTAAAAAAAATGTCCAATGCCAGCCATGCTACGTAGGCCGGTTGACGTCCACATTAGCCACATCCAACTAAAGTTAGCCGAAAGGACTGGATTGGCTCTGGGTAAAAAGGTTTAGGATTACATTGACATCATTAAAAGGTTTTATAACTAAATTGGTATAAATACAATAGATTTAGGACTAAATTGGTATAAATGTAATCGGTTTATGACTTTTTTGGCACTTTTTTTTGTGGGTTCTAAAGATGAAGAAGGAGAGAGATAGAGAGAGGGAGATGGTGAAGCAAGGATTCATGATTAGCTAGCTTAATAATAGATTGGGCTTGCGGCATGGGCACGGAATTATAGGAAGAAGAAGAGCATGGTCTGCTCTCCAATATATTTTTGTTGTGAGAACTATTTGGAGAATCCAAATACATGTATTACAATAAATATGGACCGTCATGTCTGTTAAATAATTGCAGCATGACCAAAACTAGGTGAACAAAAATTGTAATTGTAAAAACAATCCAAATATGAGATTAGGCTCCAGGATATTTTTGTTGTGAGAACTATTTGGAGAATCTAAATACATGTATTACAATAAATATGGACCGTCATGTCTGTTAAATAATTGCAGCATTACCAAAACCAGGTGTACAAAAATTGTAATTGTAAAAACAATCTAAATATGGGTTTAGGCTCCAAGATATTTTTGTTGTGAGAACTATTTGGAGAATCTAAATACATGTATTACAATAAATATGGACCATCATGTCTGTTAAATAATTGCAACATGACCAAAACCAGGTGCACAAAAATTGTAATTGTAAAAACAATCTAAATATGGGATTAGGCTATCATCCTCTTAAATTAGGCAACTATGGGGTTGCTAATATTTTATCTTAGTTATTGATGTTCAAATGGTAGTTATCCAATGACCATAAATGCAAGCAAGGTCCCGGTGAAGTGGAATCATAATATTGAGCTAATTACTTGGACATATTCATACAACAAATTTCCTTTATTAATACCGTAGAAATGTTTTTTTTTTTCGGTCTGTCATACTCTAACTCTCAACTCACTCTTAGATTTTTGCTCTGCCTCTTGCAGGATGTGGGAGTCGAAACCCACATCTGAAACTACACGTCCTCACCCCTAGCCCCCTTGAAAAGGTGGGAAATTGAACTCCTCACCTTCCTCTTTCCAAGTAGGAAGGGTGGCCATTGGGGCAAACCCCAATGATTCCGTAGAAAGGTATTGGAAACATAGAAAATTAGGGATTGAACCCAATTCCTAACAAAAAAAAAACATTATTAATTTGCATTTGCATATTATGTGTGTTTTCATTTAATAGCATTAAGCCCACATAAACTGCATTTTAATTGGGTGGGAGCTTATGGACTTAAGCAAGGAGACCTGGAGCTTAATTAAAAATTATCTGGACTAAGCCCATATGAGCATGAAATTTGGCTAAGCCCATCGAAATACAAACCATGGCCGAAATTCACATGTGCATGGCACATGTGGAGTGCCAAACTAGGACAAATTGTAATATCTCAACAAAATTGGAGGAAATAAAGTTATTATCCTTATGAATTTTAATTATATGATGATGATTAGAGGATGGCATCTTAATTTCCTGAGATGTGAGAGTTAATATATTCACTTGAGCTAACATAGGTGAGGGAATTCAGTAATTTTTCGAGACATCTCGAGGAAGATTCAGGCATGGATTCATTGGGTGATTGAAGAACATTAGAAGATTTCTCGCTTGAATTAAAAATGGCGCAAAATCACGGGCAAGGCAAAGAAAAGGCAAGACAAATTGGTAAGCAAAGAGGTGGCTGAGAGAGAGAGAGATTCGGTGGTTCATCAATGATCCCTATGGAAGGCCCTATGGAAGGCCAAGGATCTCAAGGTTTCTGTGAGACTATCAAGAAGAAGGACTTTCGCTCCCATCACGATTCACCGAGGGTACACCTCAGTAACCGACATTTCATTGGTCGATCACGGCATAGACTTAATGGTGGATTCATCCGACTCGAGCTCTTTCAACTTTCTCTCCGTGTTCCTTCGGAGGAAGAAGGCTGGTTGTCGAGGCTGTGGAAGCTTAAGAGAGTGGCTGCTAAACATAAGGACTATGCTTGCCATGGTCGGTCTATCAGTTGGATCTTCCTGAACACCTAGTAAACCAACGTGGAGGCATCTAACCACTTCATCTATTGAATATGAATCGCCAATGAATGGATCTAACACTTTGAGCGGTGTACCGTCTCTCCAATGCTTCCATGTCCGAAATATTATTTCAGTGGAGGAATTCCAACTTAATTAGATCGGTTCAACGTAATATACATCGTAATAGATCATATGCAACTTACATAGCTAGCAAGATTTTCACCCCCATCTGATTGGTTGAAGCAACTATTCTTCTTTCTACTAATGATCTCTAGGATTAGGACACCAAAATTATAGACATCAGACTTCACAGAGATTTGCCCATGCATTGCATACTCCGGAGACAAGAAACCACTGCAAACCAAATACATGGGTTGTAGCATCCATTATGTTATTATAAGTTGATAAAACAAGCAAGTCACGAGTGACCCACATTCGAGGATTGGCATGTATGTGAGCATGGTGTTGTTTCCAATTCATAGATCAACCATAAGATAGATTATATAAACAAGAAATTATCAGTCATCTAAAAAAAAAATTGAGACTTACAAGGTCCCCGCAATTTTATTAGTGTTTGCCCTAGTTTGATCAACTTCGAAAATCCTAGCCATGCTGAAATCTGAAATATTCGGGTTCATTTCACTATCTAACAAGATATTGCTGGGTTTTAGATCACGATGAATGATCCGGAGTCTAGAATCTTCGTACAAATAGAGCATTCCTCGAGCGATTCTAGATATTATCTTGTAACGTCTTGACCAATCCAATTACCTTCTCTTTTCAGGATTTGCATATTTACACAACTAGAAACCAATTATTCTGAGTTGATTAATGCTCTTAGAACTTTCATCATGTTCCCTAGAAGCTAGTTGGAGTTTCAACTCTAAGCTTATGCTAATCACACATACAGTTTCTTCCACATGGAAAATCACATCTTAAGAGTCTATTGAAGCATGCGATGTACCAAGTAAAAAGTAGTCGAGACTTTTGCTCGGCACAAATTCTTAGACAAGTATCTTCTCCTCTCCCTCTAAGCAAAACCCGAGCAGCCGCGCAAGGTTTCGATGTTGAAGCTTCGCTACCAAAACAACCTCATTCTTGAATTCTCCAACACCCTGTCCTGAGCTTTTAGATAGCCTCTTCATAGCTATTTCTTGTCCATTCGGAAGCCTGCCCTGAAAATTTTTAATTTGGTTGCTTGAGTACAAATGAATAGCTTTTGGCCACTTCTTTAAATAACAAATATCAATGATATTCAAAGAATTTATAAAGCATATATCAATATTTCTAATTGATACCCGGAAAACTTCACCAAATCCGCCCTGACCCAACTTGTTTCAATGAGAGAAATTGTTTGTGGCAGCTTGGATATTAGCTAAATGGTATTGCAAGGACTCTGCAGTTGTAATTTCACTTGAGCCTACACGACGAAACAGCAGGAGATAGTCATTCACCTAAAGCATAGAACTGTGTATCTCGGGTACACAGTTGCGATTTTCTGTCCAAGGCATAAACATGCGCGTAAGTACCGCCTTCTGCTTGGACGACTTCATACGTCTTTGTTGTTTCACTCCGGTGCGAACAACAGGCAACAAAGGGAACTTTGACAGCAATGCCAACCGGAATGGCCACGGCAACGATTATCGTGGTAGATTTATTGCTTTTGCCTGCACATGTGCTACCATATCATAGGGGTGCATGATATTTTAGAAATTTGAATTGCTAATTTGCTACAACAGGTAGAAGCAAATTTGAAAAAAACAGATATTACAGACTCATTCAAATAAATGATTCAACTATCTTTT